ATCCAATGTGCAAGACAGGCAAATTTTGAGGTCATTCTTTCTCACACAAAATGCGAGGTTTTCGTCTCGTTTTTAAATTTAAACAATTTGGTTATAGTGAAATGAAATGATTTTTGTCTGTAGATCCAGCCGATTCGACGAAACCCAGTACGACGACGGATCCTACAACAAGCAAATACGATAAGTACGATTACGACGCAGACCGAAGGGACGACGAGTTTCTGAAAGGCGCGCACAGCCAGAACATCGCTGCCAGCCGTAACGAATTCGCGAAAAACGACCAAGTACCAACAACAAACCACCAAAAAGTACTATCAGCAACAGCCGACACAAAAGCCCAGTTACGAAACACCTAGACCGTTCTCCGTCACTTCCAACACGCCTCAAAGATCGACCAATAATGCTTCTCCTACGCCGAAACAAGTGACCAATCAAAATACGCAATCTCCTAAGCAAAACACCAATCACAGTGCGCCACCTCAGAAACCCGAAGTGAGCAGTAAAAAGGCGAAAGATTACGACTATGCTTATTATGACACAGATACTAATTCAGGTAGTGAACCGGAGTACGAAATTACTGAAATTAAAAAATCTACTGTCAAGAATTAGGGTAGCTTTTAGGGTAGTCTAAGGGAGGTCTAAGGTTTCTGCAGTTAAATGATTTTTACCCAACAAAAAGTTAAGTAAAATAATTTTGGATTGTTTCAAAATGAAATAGCGTTTCTTGAAATGACTCTTAGTAAATAAGCTGCACTGCTTTAGAGCCTTTCAAGGAGCGATGGAAGGAGCTTTAAAAATACGTGAATTTTATTCCAGAAATAAAAATTAAAATTTGTTAATATTACAAACGTAAGGAAAACGTTTGAAAGAAGAGTTTCACTAAGCTGGTATAAGTATATGAATTTAAAAAAAATCTTGGCCATAACATTTATAATATTATACAACAATAGGGCCACTATTATTGTATAAATCTCGGTTGATCTCTAAATTTTGATTCCAGCATTTCTACATTTACTTTTTTATGGTTTTTTACTCAAGTGGTTCAATTATAGTAGGTCTTGTCTGGTCTTTGCAATCTTAATAAACATTTTTTAAAACTACTCCTTAGTAGAATTGCGAGTATTTCCCAATTTTGCGCTGAAAAAGTTTCATGCCATTCACGAAACCAGTCAATTAGAAAAACTCTTAGAAGGCTGAAAGTATTAATTTATTTTAGATGTTTTTGTGGTAATCTAAATACTTTCAAACGGGAGAAATTTTGGACAAGTAGTGATAGGTTATTTAAATTTAAGAATCATCAATTTATCTTGTCATTAAGACCAGTATTTTTTTAATGTATAAAACTGTACATATTGTATTTTTATTGTAAAAATAAACGTAATGTTATTATTAATGGTTGTTTCAATTTTCTGTTCCCTTTATACAGAAACTAAAGTTACTAGAAAGCAATAGAAAGCAAGAACGATCCTCTTCAACGCTATAAATATCATAGGGGCTCAAGTTACATCTAGAGGTCATTTTAAGGTCAACTGTTGCTCTTTCATAGAATGTTGTGAATCAGCGGTTAGCTGGAAAAAGAAGAAGAATAACTTTTCTGATGGTGAACTTTGTTGTGACATTAGCTATGACCTTGAAGGTAAAATCACACAAGGATGTGATTTTACCTCGGTTAATGAGATTTTTCTCAATTTTCTGCGTGGGGATCAAAATTGAAGGTTTTCATGTGAAAAAATCAATTCGACCTTGAATGGACCTTCAAGGTCACAACGAAGGTCACCATCTGTTATGCCGTTGGGTGACTTGGAATTTTCGCATTAAAAGTTATTTTCTATTAGTCTTCTTTATACAGCTATTCACTGCTTCACAACATTCCAAGGAATAGTGTGACCTTGAAATAACCTCCTGATGTAATTTCAGTCCCCATGATATTTATGCCTTTGAAAAAAAAAGTTTGGCTTTTTATTTTTGCAATAAAAAAAAGGTTCCCATAAAAAATCAGCTTGCCCTTAAAATGACCTTGAAGATGAAAAAACGTCAAATCCAAGGTCACCACGTTATGCACCAACAATGAGGTCTCATATAAAATAAAAAATGGTGTAAATTGTCTAAACACTTTGCTATAAAATAATTTAAGGTTATAATTCTTAGTATAAATAAAACATCGTTTCAAGGAGATTTCTTTATACTTTATGAATAAAGGTACATAAACGGACTACTCTATCATTGCTTTTATATAAAAATGTGTCTGGTAGTGACCTTCGATTTGACGTTGACATTCATCTTGATATTGATTTCAAGCACAAGTTGATTTTTTGGGAACCCACGTTTTTACTGCAGGAATAGAAAGCAAAAAAGTCCTCTTCAACACTATAAATATCATAGGGGCTAAAATTACATCTAGAGGTCATTTTAAGGTCAACTGTTGCTCTTTCATAGAATGTTGTGAATCAGCGGTTAACTGGAAAAGAAGAAGAATAACTTTTCTAATGGTGAACTTTGTTGTGACATTGGCTATGACCTTGAAGGTAAAGGATGTGATTTTACCTCGGTTAATGAGATTTTTCTCAATTTTCTGCGTGGTGATCAAAATTGAGGGTTTTCATGTGAAAAAATCAATTCGACCTTGAATGGACCTTCAAGGTCACAACGAAGGTCACCATCTGTTATGCCGTTGGGTGACTTGGAATTTTCGCATTAAAAGTTATTTTCTATTAGTCTTCTTTATACAGCTATCCACTGCTTCACAACATTCCAAGGAATAGGTTGACCTTGAAATAACCTCCTGATGTAATTTCAGTCCCCATGATATTTATGCCTTTGAAAAAAAAAGTTTGGCTTTTTATTTTTGCAATAAAAAAGAGGTTCCCATAAAAAAATCAGCTTGCCCTTAAACTGACCTTCAAGTAGAATAACGTCAAATCCAAGGTCACCAATAGATGCACCAGCTTATATGAAATAAAAAATGGTTGTAAATTGTTGATGTCACTCAAAGACACTTTGCTATGAATAATTATAAATAGGAAAACCTCGACAAAAAGCAAATAAACTTTTTTCTCAATTTAAAGTTATAATTCTCAGTATAAATAAAACATCGTTTCAGGAGCGAGTTCTTTTTATTTTATGAATAAAGGTACATAAACGGACTACTCTACTTATCGATTGGTTTTTATATAAAAATGTAGGTACATAACAGAAAACAATTTTATTTTGAGTTACATACAAGTTTTGGTTTCCTAATATGAACATTTTCCTAAAACAGCCATATAGAAAAATAAACAAAAATATATCTAATCATACTAAGTACGAAAAATGGCAATACTAAAAATATCATCAACAAAATATTAACAAAAAATATAATTTTTACACATAAAAAATATAATTACATAAGTAACATTACTCAAAAATGTGAAAGCTTAGCTTTCCATCTGAGTATTAGGAAAAAATCAAGTCTATTAAACATTAAGATATAAGGGTAAGACTACAAGAAATGACTTAAAATATTTATATGAGAAGTAATGAAAAATGTGACACATTTTATTAGGCACCTTTGTGTAGATCATCAATTAGGATAATAAAAAAATAATGAAACAATTTGATAAATATTGAAAAACAAACTAACATCAAAATAGGAAGTGAAGAAGAAGAATCCTCCACAAAAACCAATTTTTTTGTTGCTTAACGTTTTTTTTTTATTATAAATTCCCTTTCGCTATAGACACTATTGACTCATTGTATATACAGGGTTCGTTTTAGTGTGGGATTAATTACGCAAAAACCCACAACCAAGAATGTTGATCCTGATTGGGAAAATATCGTTATATCTACAAGGTGATTCATAACTACAACATAGTAAATGCGCTGGAATAATTGTATAATAAACTATTTTTAAAGCGTTTCTATTTCGAAATTGTCTTCTTTGCAAAATGATTTGTGTATAGCAAAGACGTACTTTTTCAACATCTGGCAGAATATGTATTTTATTGGCCGCATTATATCTGATTTACCAAAAGGTTAGTTGTAATGCAAAAACGAGTCGAAGAAATCCACCACAAGGCAGGGAGAAAGTATGTGATCATAAAATTTTTCTAACGAAAAATTCTGTACTCTGGAGATAACAATTGTCGAGGTGTGAGTTATCAAGGTGAGTGTTCTTTGTTCGATATCGCAACAACTGCATGTTTGGCAACACTTTTTGTAGATAGCGGAATAACTGAGTCATCAACCGATCCCGCACTAAAACCTCCTCGTATAAAAATTAGAAAAATATTGAATATAATGTACTGAAAAGAAATCAGAACAATTTCGAGAGCTACACAAATACACCTTGAGTCATACATTGTCTTTCAATAGATGAACTTAAAATCAGCATCTTTAGCAGGAGTTTGTGTACAACTTTCAGGATTTGTCACCCCCCCTCCCCTTAGAAAATTTGCTACCCCCGCTGTTCAAAAAGTGTTTGGGTCGGGTATACTCAGAAATTTATTCCTTGCTGCTGACAAAATTTCTGCAGACGCCGATGATGAACTTCACATGTCTGCCACTTTTACTGATTTATTATTAACCTTTTTACAATGCATGCAAACTGCAATCGAATAAAAATGGTAAAACACGATATTTTTTCAAATTCATACCATCCTATAATTTCAATATTTTTAAATTTACCTGTAGGATTATTGTTCCCGCGTATCTTTCTTCACAATATGTAAGCTATTCAGTACGTAAAATTGCAAAAACAATCTTATACCTACCACTCTCGTGATACGGAAAAGCATGAAAAAAATAACAAGACAAATGGGCTAAGTCTGAGGATTTTTTTTTGTTGAAATTCTCAAACTATGGCAAATATATAATTCTTTTTGTGTTGTAATGATTTAAATTTTTTTTTTCAAGATTATGGAGATCAAACGCGTATCTCTCTTCAGAATATTCTAAATCCTTTTCATCTGATAATAAAACAGCAACGTTTTAATTTTTTTTTTAAAGTTCATTTTTTATGCATTTTATTGTGCATTCTTTTTCAATCGGAACTTGTTAACAAATATAAGTACAGCTCTGAAATTGTGGCTGATATTTCCCCTTTATGGAAGAATGAAACGAGTTATTACTTTCGTTCTTATCACTTTCCTTTTTCGAAAAATCCTTGATTTTCTTGAAGCCTCGTCTCGCAACAAGTTGAGTTTCCAAGAAAAGCAAAGATTTTTCGAAAACTGAAAAGTGATAAGACAAAAGTAATCAAAATGTATTTTTGACCAAAAAATGAGAACACTGCAAACAGGAAATTGCAAAAACATGTATATACAATTTTTATACTTACCACACTCGCGATGCGCGAAAAATTCGCGAAAATATTTCAAAAATGATTTCGATTTTCATACTTTTAAAACTGACAAATATGAAGTTCTTTTTGTGTTTTAAAAATTGATTACTTTTTTCAAGATTATGGAGGCCAAACGAAGCTGATGAAAACATTAGAAATTAAATATTTTTAGAAAATTGACGCATTTGAAAACGGTTTTTCGCTTTAAAAATTTGTTTTTTTGTATGAGAAAGATATATCCTTAATCTGTGATCTCGCATTATAATAATTTAAATATATCCTGCAAAACTAATATAAATTACATACATATATCAAAACTCCTCAGATTTATCCCTCGTCCGTCCTAAAGCTGGGTTAACGTTATTGTCACATCACGTGAGCTCACAAATTGCATACAAACCACGAGATATAACATTAACTCGCGATATCTCTATTGTCTCCCACGCGTCTGCAAAAAATCACTTTAGATTTAGATGCGTGAGATTGCGTGATATCTCGTGTGATGTGACAATGGTGTGCATCCGCGTTTATCCGCTTTTTCGACTATTACACAGTGTGAACCTCCCCAGGTTGATGTCCCTCACTTTCCCCAAATGTATCTTTCTTCTCACCATCGCTACTTAAAATCACACCGTTATTGCACTTTTCCACAGGTTCTCTTCTATACGTCTCATTTTCCTTATCGTTATGAATACTCTTTGGGATGCCTGCCGAATTGCTTTCTGATCCATTTAACCTGCTTTCTGAGCAGTTTGATTTGGTTTCTGAGCAGTTTGATTTGGCTTCTGAGTCGTTTAGTTTGTTTTCCGAGCAGTTTGGTTTAGTTTCTGATCCGCCCGACTCAGTTTCCGATCCATTTAAGCTGCTTTCTGAGCAGTTTGGTTTAGTTTCTGAACTGCTTGACTTGTTTTCTGAGAAGTTTGACTTAGTTTCTGAGCCGCTTGACTTGCTTTCCGAGCAGTTCGACTTAGTTTCTGAGATGTTCGACTTGGTTTCTAAACTGTCTTTGTTGGTTGTTCGGAGGTTTGTTCTGCAGTCCTTTGGTCTGGAGGTACCATAAAGTTATTCCACCAACTCGAGAACGCGCCCTTGGCTTGGGAGATCGCGCCACCTAGAAAAAAAGGCGTCAAGTAGGTCGACTCGTTGCTACCGTTGATTGACATGGTGTTGGGCAAATCTTGGGATTGGACACCTTGCATTGTGGTTTGATGTGAATGGACTACCATTAATTAAAGCAAAACTTAACAAATCACGAAAGCTAGGTAAATATTCGGTTGTTCGGAAAGTTCTTGTTATTTATGTTAAATGATGTATTTGACCCTAAATTTTTTTTACTAGACTTTGACTTTATATATCATTTTAAAGCGCGTTTTTCGCGTCTTCGGTTTGTTTTACGATTTGTTCTTTTTTCACGACTGCAAATACAGGATGGACAAGAGGCAAATTCGCACGTTTTTCTTATTTCAGTTCAAATTAGGTCGGAAAGCTGCCGAGACAACTTGAAATATCAACGATGCATTTGGTCAAGGAACCACTAACGAACGTATGGCCCAATGGTGGTTCAAGACATTCTGCAGCGGCGACGAGAGCATTGGAGATGAAGAGTGCAGTGGTGACGACGACGAATTAAAGGCCCTGGTGGAAGCAAACCCGTTCACAACTGTTCTCTTTGCAGACGATTTAAAATTATTCAGGATTATTGATTCTGAGGCATTTAGATTGGGGATGTTGACATAAATCATTGTGACTTAAGGATTTGGGCGTCCTTTTGACCAGAAACTTAATTTTTCACACCATACAGCTCAAAAGGTGAGTGAACGTTCACGGGCGTACGGTTTTATTGCGAGAAACTGCAGAAGCGTCAGCCATACAGAGTCACTATTGGTTTTTTATTCTGCATATATCAAAATTGGAATATGCATCGTTCATTTGGAACCGAATTTACAACTGCTAAAAATTTCATAATCATAAGCCATCAAGGTACTGATGAAGAGAGACCAGCCGAGACCATGCTGATGAGTTGCGAAAAAGCACGAAACACCTACCAACGATAGGCTCTCTTTGGACGGATGAAATAAGTATGTTTGTATCTTCTTGGAGACTACGGCCACAAACAACTAGACTAAATAACGTTAGTATCTTAAGAAAAACTTACCAACAGCTTTTCCTGTATTAGCAACTGCTTTCCCTGTTGTTGCCATTGCTTGGTTCAGTTTCCGGCCACTTTCCGTATTTTGCATTGTACTGCAACACAATCATATTTTTTAGATCCCTCATTAGGCTGATAAGCTATTTCAATTGTGCATCGACATTATTGATATCAATATTTAATGTCAAAAAATTCGTTCATGGTGGAAATCGCAGCAAGCACTTCCGCCATAGCCTTGTTGTTGATTGAATATAATAAATTGAACATAGAGATAAAATCCACCACTTTGTTTTGTATAAATTTTAAAGTAGCGCTAAGACGAATCCAACGACACCTCATATGTGAAAATCCGTCCAGCAGTTTGGCCTGTAGGTGAAAATATGCACGTTTTCCATATCAACCCGAATGATAATCACTCTCCGCGTGACGTCACTTCCTCGCGTATTCAGTTGCCGCGTAATTCAAATTTGTATGTAAACTTTCCTACTAGAGTGATACTTACTGTGCCAGTCGTAATTTCATATCAGCGTAAGATAATTGTCCAGCAAAGGGATGACCTGGGTGAACCTCAAGAATACCGGGATTGATTCCACTCAACCACATTTTATAGTTATGGGTCTCCCTCCACGCAGTTATGAACGATGAATTGAAATGATCCAGTTCCCTGGCACCATCTAGAGAATCGGGAAGTACTATCAGTAATGTCACCATTATTTGTACCAGTGATTGACATATTCCCGAAAACGTCCAACTACTCCATATGATTTATAAAAACAGTATTTATCTTATATTTAAAGACGAAGGAAAAATGAACGAAAATCAACACAAAACTCAAGCTAAAAATGTTGGATGATATAGTGACAAAACATTCCTATTTTGAGTACAATTAAAATGAGATTTTTAAACTGCTTACCTTGAATCATCGAGGTCCTTAGAAGGCAGAGTAAGTAAACCCTAAACTGGGTCCTTATCCATTCTTCACTACCTTCCCATCCAACTCCGTCTAAGAAATCATCTTGGCTCTCCTCTGAGGCATGCTTCACCAAATATTCCGCAAACCTAGGAAACACACGGAAAAAATGTATATTCAAAAGTTTTGGCACAAGATACACGTTTCAAAACTAATGGAAAAAATTAAAGGATCAAATAAAAATTGTGGATTTTTTGCTTTGTTTGTAGTACCGATCTCAGTTAAAAGTGGTCGTATTGAGGTAGTATTTTAAAGCTTCAAATGTCCAGTTCTTCATCCTTCTGATAAAAAATTGAGGCTACAGATTCCTCGCAATCCTAGGAAAGATTGTTCAGAAAAAATGCAGATCTTGCATTTCTTAATACATATTTCTATTCAGGTTCACGGACTTGAAAAAATATATTTCCACTAAACCATTAGATGATGGGCTCAAAAACCTGTTTCTTTTTGATGGAAAAGGACTCTTTTTGGCTTTGATCATCGATATCTTAGGAATCAATCATCGCACAGAAAATCAAAGGGTGGTTTCAAAATTTAAAATGGAAGGATGGATTATTTATCAAAGAACATTTTTTTCATCTTTAATATGAGCTGTAAAAACAGGAAAAGGGGGCAATTTATGATTTCTGGAAATAGCAAGTGCCAAAGTTGCAAATATTAACAAAGTAGCTAATATTGAGCGTGACTTTTACATTTCCATGTACGCGCAATAACCCTGTAAAATTTCTTTTTTTGCTTTAACAATCAGTTTTGAAAAAATTAAAGGTTCACGTTTATAGCCGCTAAAAGCTTTATAATGGAAAACGTGTTTTTTAATTATTTTTTGTACAAAAAGTATTCAAACTTGGGGAAAAAATCTTTAAAAAATGGACGGAAAATGTGGGTGAAATATCAAAAATAAAATGTTTTCATGATATAGCTTTTAGCAACAATAAATATGATTTTTTCATTTTTTCTAAACATTGTTCAAAACAAAAAAACGACTTTGTAGATCACTGTTACAATTTTACAGAATTATTGTAAAGTCACGCTCAATCAATATTTGCAATTTAGCTTTAAGTTTTCCACAAACAAAAATCCCTTTCTCAATGAAAAAAATTGTTTTTGCATAAATGATCCATGATTCTGTTAGAAAATCTGTTCCCGATTGAAACCACCCTTTGATTTTCCGTGTGATGACTGGTCCTTGAGATATCAATGATCAAAGCAAAAAAGGACCCTTTATCATTAAAAATTCAGTCTTTCAGCAAAAAATCGTTATATGGAGGTTTTGAAAAAGCAAACTGAAGCTAAATAAACAGAATATTTAAAACATTTTCCGAGTCCATCGACCTAAATAAAAATATGAAAATTGCAATATTTTTCCTTCACAATTCCACCAAGATTGCGTGGAATCTGTAGCTTCAACAGTTTATCTACAAAGAGATCTAAAAACTAGACATTTGAAACTTCAAAATGCCTCTCCCAGAACCTCAATAGGACTATTTTTTTACTGATATACAGCATTTGAAACAAGAGCTTAAAATTTACAATTCTTACTTGATCCCCCTTAAAGTATGTATAAATGCTCAAAATCCAAGTCAATACGATATTCTCTAGTCTTTTACTATCTTTGTCCGATATCCGATCTTTTAACAAAATCAACTTTTTCGAGATTCTAGACAAATCATACCTCAAATCCTCGGTAGTCAAATGTAGATATTTCCTCAAGTTGATATCAGGACATTCTATTCTACCACTATCAATATCAACTAGAACATCATACAGTTGCCTTTTTTGTTTAAAAAGAAAATTTGTTGTTCCAACAATATAACTCCTAACGTTCACGTCTGACAAACAGATCCATGTAAGGCAAAGATAGATAGGGTAGACATAGGAACCTGGAAAATAAATCGATAATCAAGAAAAATCTTGAAGAAACTGAGATTGTAAAATATCTAATACTTTCCAAGCAAAAGTACGAGTGCTAAAACTTGCTATCCAAGCGTCAAACGTAAGATCTCGCGCAAAAAACTGTAACGTAATAGGTTTTGTATGGTTTCTAGAATACAAATCAATCCTATTCGGTGTGTTGCATTCGGTGGGAATCCAGAAGATGTAATAGATTTCAGCTCTCAAAAATGCAATTTTTGTATTTGAGATTCATCATACATCACCTTTGGTGTAAATTGATAGAGGAAATCCACAACTTCTGTGCTGAGATTTGCTAAATATGACATATTATTCTGTACAACATCAGAAATTGTATCCGAACTCAATTCTCTTCTAAGACTACTACTCTTCTCGCCTATATTTGAAGTAGCACTGATTGGAGAATCTTCTTTTATTTGCTGAAAAAGTTGAAGCTGAACTCAATTTGAAGATAGTTAAGATTTTTCAAAATATGTCTTTGTTTGTTGAAGATTTATTTAAAATTAATTCTACAATGTCAATTTTGTATAATTATTATTTGCAGATTTTATTGAGTAAATTTCTGCAATTTTGAGTATTCATAAAGTGATTTTTTAATTTCACCTTTCACAATTTGAACACTGTTTTAATACCATTACAGTCTTAAAAGGTAGTGTCCAAATGTCTATGTGTTTTATATATATATATCAATGTATCGTACGCAAATATTTGGTGAATAAAAAAAATGAAAATCGTATTTTGTACAGGATAAAAACATCCAAAAACACTACGAATTAAAACTGAACGTTCAAGTTCTAAAATATTTCTTACATTATCCAAAGACTCAGTCACTTCTAAAGCATATTCTGTATTATCTACTTCACTATCATTTTCTTTGCCTTCCAAACTACAGTTCCTCTCCACCATTCCATTTTTTTTGCGCCTCGTTAGCGACGTTTTTGTCATCTTTTGTAGTGATTTTATCTGTGCCATTAGAAAATACTTTGTTATTAACACAGGACTCAATTCTTCGTCTGAGTACTCTGGCATTGGGGACATTGGTCTAGACAACCTGAAACAAACAAAAAACAAAAAAAATGAAAGCATAATAGAGGATGAAATTGCTTTTGCTTGTTTTTGTGAATATATCTTTACCTTATGCACGCAGATTGGTCTAGTCCATTTCTATCATTTCAGGGAATAGCGATACTAACGTTAAAATTGTAGAACATAAGGGATGTACAGGTGACTTAAAAAACATAACCCTCTTTTCAAGTAACAACAGCTTGAAAAGCTGTAATGCCTTGTTTTTCCATTGCAATATAAATTCTTTAGCTGATAAACCTGAAATCACGAAAATACATTGCAGTTCTTGCAACATTTAAAAACTATCAAAATATTGTCAAACAGTTATAGCTCAATGGATTATAATCAATATATTTGAATTTTAGAAAAATTATAGGATAAATTAACTATCCTTTCGATATAATAAACACAATTTTTATATAGCAACTGTAGAAAAAAAATTGTTAAATAATTGAAAAAAAGTGTATTTATTACATAAAAATTGTCGCATTAACTTCACTTACCAACAAAACTATGTTGTCTCATATCATATTGTTTCATCACAGCATTTAAATGGTGAAAGGTTTCCTCCAAAATTGAAACCTTGCTAAAATCCCCTTTTTCAAAATACGCATGGGTAATAAGATGCATTTTGACTTGTATCTGTCCATACAGAGGCACTCTGCTTAACACACATACTGACTTTTGCACAGTGCCTCTGGTTATATCTGATGTCTTGTTTTTTATTTTCTGAAAGCATCATCAACATTTGGTCATTGTATCTCGAAAATTTGGGAATATATTCGCTTTTTCAGAAAAGAAAGCCAAATTGAGATGTATGATTTAGATGAAGCCCATTTGTGATGTTTTGTGTTACTACATACATATACAGTAATGGACAAAAGTATATAGACAAATATGAATATTTGCCTAAATTCCTTTAGAAAACGAATTCTTACTTCATTACTTCCATAATCAAATGCGTTATTAGCAGAAAAAGTGCAATGAACACAATACAAGTCTGAATATAAGCACACAAAAATATGTAGAAATATTCTTTTCAACATTAGTACAGTTTCGTGTCAGAAGACGATTAGTTTGTGTTCATCAAGTATTGTGGAATAAGTTGAGTGATTTTAAGACCAAGCCGCGTGGTCCAGAAATTTCTTTCAATGTGAAAACTAAGATCTTTGAGTTATACAAAGATGGTCAACATCAAGTCGACATTGCCAAAAATGTGAAGCTGAAGTGTAAAACAGTTTGGGCAATATTGAACAAATATGAACAAAAAGGTATCTTGGAAGCCTCTAAGAGAAGTGGTAAGGTAACAAACCTTTTTTTTGTTTATATTAAAAACGTTTATATAAATATATGTTTTAAGTGTCCCAGTTTCTTAAATATATTTAGTTTTCATTAACAACAGAATTGTGGTTGTATTTCTTTTATATGGTCAACCTCTCTTGAACGGACAATTTTACTCAGTCTCACTGGTCTCCATCCAAAAGAGATTTCACTTTTTTTTTTTATATACACTTATATACAAGTTTTAGATAATTACAATGTTTGATTGCTTGTTTTGCCCGTCTTTCCAAATATTGTGAACCACATTTGAAATAAATTTTTTACAAAACAAATTAATGGATTTTATTAAAAAAGTAATACAAAAAATCATCTAATCACACTTCACTTTAGTCAGCTTCAGCTGAAGTTTCTTTTGGTGAAGAAAAAATGTTTTACCTACAGAATTAGTGTGCATTTATTGGCCCGACAAGAAGCTAAACGTAGGTTGTCGATTTTCTGAACTCTTAAACAGTTTAATTCGTCAGTGGTTATAACTTCCTTATGTTTGTGCCATGATTATAATATGTCAACTATAACCCATGATTTAATTTGGTTCAGAAATGTGCCCTTGTAACAATGACCTATCATCAAGTAAAACACTATGCTGATTACTAAAATACAGTCAAGTAGACTGACTCAGTATCAAGCATCTTGACTACACGCCACAAAATCATGTCTATCCGATATCCTGCAATGTGTAAAGGCTAATAAAAACACTATTGTATGCATCTACATCATAACTTCGTCACCAACAGCTAGGAATCTTCGTCTCCTTGTCAGAATGCACGATTTATATTTACGGACTTCACAATACAAAATCAGAGACATTTAGCAGCGCATAATACTTACCTCCACAGGGATTTGTCGAAAGCAAGATATTCCATATACAGTCTGTTTAGGGCTTGCAAGACTGGGCAAGTGGAAGAATACCGTGTCCGTATCATAATTATGAGATCCATCTGGCAATGCTAATGTCGGTAGGTACTTCCAACCGGGTGGACACTCGTTTGGATGACCGGGATAAAGCTCTGGATACGAATATTCCACCTGAAATTACAATCGTAAAAACACTTGTTCGTTCCAGGGGGTAAAAGGGCCCTAAAGCGGTGTCTACCTGGCAGCCCTTTTTGTGGTGGAAGCCGACAACGAGGACGTACAGAATTGGCTCCTCATTTTCACTCATTCTACAAGGTTTTTTCGTTTGAAACAACACATTAAAGAGAAAAGAGGAAAAATTGCATTTGTATTGACGTTCTGCAACTAAACAATTTTATTTTTCACGGTTGGCAATTTTGTGTCAGCAATCAGGGAATCAGTGTTGCCAACATTTCCAACGGATAGTAATGTTATTTTCTACTGTTGGCTGCAATGACTAGAGAGTGTTGTTATTTATGGCGACACTGACTACAACCTGAAATGTAGAAGTACATCAGTTAGGCAGGTAAAACAGTGTTGCCAATCCTATTTGAGAATATTTTATAAGATATAAAGCGTTCGCACATAGTTTTTCTGTTCTGTCGGGCGACTTGTTTAAAATTCGATACAGAAATTTATTTAACCCTAGAGTGGCGAAAATAACAGAGGGCCTATGCTATTTAATGTTCAAATGA